ATATATTTGACTGTAAAATGTAATTTTTTTAATATTTATTTTTTATTTAATAATTATAATTATATAATTTATAAGAGTTTAAACTATATAATATTTTCTCTATATTTATATATTTACTGAAATAATTTAGCCCGTCTGCAATTATTTTGATTTGCATGTCTGCTATGCATATCTACCAGCTAGTTCCACGAAAGTGAAAGACTGGAAGCCGCCCATAAGTCAAGTGGACGACGACAGAATCAACTATAATCTTCAGTCAATGAAGGCGATTGGCCTACAATATTACTTTCTGCCTAGATATATATTATTCTGCTCCTGCTCGTAATTAAAACCAAAACACAAGAATTTTCCAGACTTCGAAAGTGTTTTCTTTCCCCTCGATTTCGCAGAAAATTAATGGAGATGAGGTCGGTGTTGTGGATGGCAGTGATGCTGGTATTGTCATCTTCCGCAGCCGTCAGGGCAAATTCAATTGCTAAAGAAAACTGCCAAGAAACATGTGGAAACGTTAGCGTTCCTTACCCTTTTGGAATTGGCAAAGATGAATGCGCCAAGAATCATTCCTTCCTGCTTAATTGCACGGACGACGGCCTCTTCTTTTCCAACATCCAAATTTACAACATATCATTGGAGGACGGTACCTTAACCGTAGGCATTTTCTCAGCCTACGACTGCTACGACCGGAGTGGTTTACGTGACAAATTCAATCAGAGGCTCAACCTCAGGCGATGGCCTTTCACCATCTCCCCCATCCACAACAAGTTGACTGCTTTAGGCTGTGATACCTGGGTCCTGATGAGTGACCGCGAAGGGAATTTCGGAACTGGGTGCATGGCTATCTGCTCTGACCCTAAAGACATCGAACATGATGGTTCTTGCTCCGGTTACGGTCACGGATGCTGCAATTCCTCCATCCCCAACAACGTCAAGACCTTAGACATTAGAGTTGGCAGCTTTTTTAATCACAGTTATATTTTGGATTTCAACCCCTGGAGCTGCGGTTATGCTTTTGTGGTTGCAAATTCCTACAAGTTCTCGGAAATAAACTTAGGACGTTATCCTGATAAAGTCCCCAGACCGCATGCGGTGCTTGAATGGGTGGTCGGAGAGCAAGAGTACTGCCAAGAAGCTGAAGCTTGTGGCCCTAATGCTAATTGCACTTACTCTGACACCGGTGGCGGATCTCGTTGCAATTGCCTGCCAGGGTTCACCGGAAATCCATATCTCAAAGAAGGATGCCAAGGTACAATTTACGATTAATCTTTAGGGGGGGGTCTACTTGGGAAAACTTTCTTGACTTTTTCGTGTTATTTATATATTTTTATATATTAATATTATATAATAAACAAAAAAATAAAAGTAATATTTTTATTTATTTTT